TCTCTCTCTCTCTCTCTCTCTCTCTCTCTCTCTCTCTCTCTCTCTCTCTCTCGCTATCCCCTCCTCCCTTAACCGCTCTTCATTCCATCACTAAAAACTCAGCAAGCCCATTTCTCATCGCTTGAGAATCGCATAGCAAGGCCCAAGGCAACAAATTGCTTGCTGTTAACACACCAACTCTCAACAACATAATAATCCATAGCATTTCCTGGCTTGTCTTGGCTAATAAAACTTTAATCTAAGCCCGAAAATCTCATTCGCTCAATGCGATGATCGTCGTTGACTTGGCTAACAAGCTGCACGGCCAGCAGCAACAGCATAGACATATTGTGGCATAGGTGGGTGTACTTCCTGGTTAACTTCACACACACACGCAGGGCAATCGCTATGAAAGGAGTCTGGAAAAAAAGCAAATTGGTTTTTATGAAGCTTGTCAGAGTGAAATGTTGCTGCTAGCTGCAATGGTTGCAGTTGTTGTCGTTGTTGCGCTTAAATGCAATTTATTTGATGTTGCACAATTAATTGCCTAAAAAAAAAGGTGGGAGTGTAGCAAGGCCAGGGGCAGGAGCGGGGGCGGGGGCAGTAGGCGGAATTGCGACTTTGTTGCATGCTCAGTGGGTGTGCGAAGAGACAATTGTTGTTGCTGCTGTTGGCCGTTGTCACTGCAACATTTATTAGTCGCCCTGCAACATTTGTTGCCAAGTTTTATGGCTCGCGTTCGCCAAGCAAAGATTTTCTTCAATTTTGCCCACGCCAAGCAGTCAGAGCCAGCCCACACACACACACACACACACAAAGAGAAAGAGAGAGAGAGAGAGAGAGATATTCGTGTTTGCTTTTTCCAAATTGTTGCAGCTTCCTCAATCCTTGCAACTGCATATGAAAACGTTTCAATAATTCACTCAAATTGCATTTGTGGCAGCTTGTGATTGCTGTAGCTGCAACAGTTGCTGTTGTTGCCGTTGTTGCTGGGCGTTTTGATTCGTTTGGCCTGTTGTTTAATTAAGCTCTTGGCCTGGCTTTGCCCAGTTTATGGCAATGCCAGCTCTGCCAATCGTACGCCGTGAGAGAATTTCCAATTAACTTTGCAATTTTCATTACGATCCACAAAATTGGGAAAACGAAAAACTCTCAAATTATTTAGCAGCAAATTTTTGGTTGCTCGTGTTTCTTTTTGGGTCATGCAAAGCTGCAGCTAAATGCAATAATGCTCGCAGCGGGCGTGCCATGCAAAGTGCAATGACACGGGCTGAAAGTGGAGCAAGTTTTTGGCTTAGAGCGCTGCCATGGAGCAATGCCAGCATTATGCAAGCTAATAACAGATCTGGATCTGCATGTGAATCTATGCTCTGCATCTATGTTCATTTAGATCCAGAGAGCTGTAACAAGGTTTTCTTTTATGTGGCTTGTAGGCATTCATTCCTGGCGCTTTATATGATGTGCTCTACTTTTTCTTTTCGTCTTTGAAAGGGATCAAAGCTTTGATTAATAAGATAAAGTCAAGCTATAGCTTGATTGGCTCCAAAAGATTTTTGGTTAAAAGGTAAATTTTAACATGGGAATTTGTAATGGGAAAAGCTTAATTAACTGCGTCTAAAAATCATATATACTTAATATATATAATCAATAATTTAATTATTTAAGATATATAATCAATATTAAATATACATAATCAACAATCTTTTGCTCATATATTCTCTAATAACAATTTAAGCTTAGCTTAATAAGATTTTATTCGAGGCAACTGCAGCTCATACTTGGATTAATATATGCATAATAAATATGCTTTTGTTCATATATCTTTTAATGGCAATTCATGCGTTGTTTATTTAAGCCAACTACAGCTTACTCTTAGCTTACTCTTAAAATCTTAAATAATATTAAGCTGTGCTTAGAGCTCAAAGCTCTTAATAAATCCAACTAATATAGCCGCTTCTGGTCCCAAATATCTGCTCTAGCTCCCTCATATGCACGAATTTAACTTTAACTCTAATTGCCATTAGAGTTTTAGCTGTGCTGCTGCCTCGCAAATGGGTCAGAGTTCACAGGCCACACAAGCTTGCCACAAGCTTGGTGTGGCAGCTGCCGCAATGCGAATGCTGCGCTAATTTCATTTTGCGTATTTTGTTGCTGCAGGACTAGACGACAGCGACGCTTGTCATACGTGGCGTATGCGTGTTTTCTCAGCGCTGTCTATCGAAATGCAATTAAAATGCCAAATTTTTGTGGGCCAGCAAAGCAGCAACTAGGCCCACAGTGCCAAGTGTCTTGGCTTGGGAATGAGTACAAAGTTGTCGCCCGCGGCAACAGCAGCAGCAGCAGCAACAACAACAGTTAAGGCGACATAGTAACATAGAACAGCTCGACATCGAGTCTGACTCCAATTGTAGTCAATTTGAAAGCAAACTATCAAATGTCAGCAACACACGGAGAGATCTGCTCTGTGTCGCTTGTTGGATGACTCTTTGAACAGCCAAAAAAAAGACAAGCTGTTGCTGCTGCTGCTGCGTCTGCGCAGCTCAAGACAAACAGCGTAGCTTTTGAGAGACGAAATCGTAATTGTGGCTTTAAACTGGGTCAGCTGCCAGTTCTAGACGAATGCGAATTGTTATTGCTGTTGCCGTTCTTGTTCTTGTTGTTGTTGTTGTGGTTTGTTGGCCCATTGTTGTTGTGCACTCGTGTTTTTATTTTTTTCATTTTCATTTTCTAGCCGACAATTGCTGTGCTTTGTTTGCTTGGCTACATTAAAGCGCAACAGCAAACACCTTTTGCCATTGTTTTCAGCCAAATCCAATTGTTTGAACTTTTTCTACCACTTCCATTTGCCAATTGAAATTGAAAGAGAGAGAGAGAGAGAGGAGAGAAAGAGAAAGAGAAAGAGAGAGAAAGATAGCGGGAGTGAAACTGAAACAAAAAGCAAATCATTCACTCTATTTGAGCGGTTTTTAGGGCGTTATTTGTATGGCTTTTATGATCGAATTATGGCCAAGAGCTTGCCAAGCTGTCCATAAAATGGATTAATATGCTCGTTAATGTCAGTTTAAGTGCTAAATTTATGCAGAGTCCAGCAAATGTATATATTCTTAATGGGCATCAATTCTGAAATAGATCTAGACTGTTTGCCTTTGCAGAGAGGTTAGACAAGCGGAATGCTTATATTGATTCTGTTGGAATATCTTGAAGAAGATATGATTGGGAGAGAATGAAGCAGTTGGGTTGATATAGAGTAAATGCTAGCTGAGCAGCTTTTAAATACAAAATGATTTGTTTTTATATTTAATAATCTATTTTGAAATAGAGTATCAAATATTATGTTCTTCACTTTTGAAGGAACGAGAAAATTAATTGTGTTTGTTTTTAATATTATGTATAAATATAAATATTTATCAATTCAAATTGTACAAATTATGATCAAGTTATGATCAATTTTACATATATACAGGGTATCTCTTAGTCGGGCTAGTCTTAATTAGTAAGCATACAAGTTATAGTTCCATTAACTTAGCTTAGCCAGTTTATCATATTTGACCATTCAGATATATTCAATAAAATCAATGATTTATCGTATCGATATTTATCGATATATCCGATGTTTTTATCACTCAAAGCACTTTGAATTGCCGCCTTCCATCCGGTTTTACCTGATATCTTATCACACTTTAACTCACACCTAATCTGGCTGGGCATTAGCTCCTGCTCTCAGCTCTACCTGGTCGCTCGCTCAGGTGTGTGTTGCCGTGTTCAATGACTCCCCAGAGCAGATTACAAAATGTTAATGCTTCTGCTTTGCACTTCACTTCCTTTACATTCTTCCAGCGCCTTTCACTTTCAGTTGCACTCACTTCCGCTGCTGCTGCTGTTGCTGTTGTTGCTGTTGTTGCTGCTGTTCTGTCATCTCTTTCCAGTCAGCAGACGTCGAATCAGCAGCAGCAAAGTCCAATGCACGCAATTTTTACGACTTTTCGACAAAAAACGAACTGCAAACAGCAACAAAGACGAACGAGAAAATAAAAATATATAAATTTTTCGTGAGCTGCTGCCGAAATATCATTTAAATTTTAATTATGTATTTAAAATGTGTTGCTGTTGTTGCTGTTACTGTTGCTGTTGTTGTTGTTGGTGTGTGCTTTATTTATAAACATTTAGCATTTCAAATAAATGCGCGATTAATCGCTGCTGACAATTTGGCATGAAATGTGAAAAGTTCAGTCAGAACAGCAAACAACAACAACAGCAGCAGCAGCAGCAGCAACAACAGCAGCAACAGCAGCACCTGTTGCAGTTGTTGCAACATTCTAGCTGCTTAATTGCTGTTGCTAGTTTATGCAATCTACATGAGCAACACTTTGTCATTGTTGGCTGTTGCTAACGTCTCTCCTCTCGCCTCTCGCCTCTCTTCTCTCACCTGTTGCTGCTGTTGTTACGCATGCGCGCGTCTGGCAGCAACATCGCAATTAGACGCGCTCGTTTGCTGCACTTTGCCAGCAATTGTTGTTGCTGTT